GTGTATACAAATTCCAATCAAAGTTCGATTGGGTTCGATTACGTTTTTGTTTTTTGGTGGGGAGAATTCGATTGTGGTCGATTACCGAGCTTACTCGAACCGTATCGTTCTATTAAGTTCGATTTGATTTAGTTCGATTAAGAAAACGTTTGATTTGGTTCGAGTAGCTACGTCGGGAGTAATTATCAACAGCTGTGAAGGCTTTTCCCGTAATGATGGCTCGAGATCTTGAGCAATTAAGTTTTCCTTTTTAGCACATTTAATTCCCAGAAGTTTCTTCGCGTCACATAGCTGCGACGCCCTTCACGAATTTGACGAGTTTTCAGTTTAATATTTCTCCGGTTATTGTTGTCAAAAAAGACTTTGCATAGAACTTTTTTTTTGCCAAGATGAAGTACCAACGAGCGAATTCTGGCCTATAAATACCTAGCATAGTAACTGACTTCAACTTGTACTGTTCACGACTCGAGAAAGGATACTCAACTGGCCAAAAAAATCACTAAAAAATAAAAATAAAAAAAACAGCAAGCATTCACTGGACGATTCCCCCCCCCACCCCTTGCATTTTCATTTTCCCTTCTCCCCAGCCTCGGCCTACAACACATAGAGGCCTCTGCGGAAAGGGAAAGAGTATTCCCTGCAACGCGTATAGCCATCGCATCTACTCGTTCAATTGGTTTTGAGCTTAAAATCAACGAAAAATTGCAATGGGAGAATACTACTGCTATACGCGCATATTACAAATAAATCCACCCTTTAAGTGTCATCCGACAATATACTTCTGTCACTTCTTTTAAAGACAACCGTAAATAGTTTCAACGCAAGTATAAAATACCTCCTAACAAATACATATTTTTTATCCATTGTTGTGAAGAAATCTTTTTTCCTTCTCAAAATAAGTGAAAGTACACCCTTTGATCGAAGTACTTACCATAAGGACAAGACCCCCCTGTAAAGAAGAAGTCATCAATTGCTATGTCACCAGTTATACTGCTTCCTACTACGCCTTCAAATGTTACCTGTCAAAAACATGGTATTACAGTGTAATCAGTCTGGAAAGGTCGCTTTAATGATGGACTAATGAAAGACAAATTAAAATTGCAGAAATGAAAAATTAACTGGAAAGTTAAAGAACTAAATAATTGAAACGAACAGTAAGCACATCTGCTTTACAAAGCTAAGTGATATTTTTCTTTGCATTTACGAACTTTCGAGTGATTTATAACTTACATTTTGTATGTGTTTAATTTATACTTAATGATCAGATGAAGTATTATAGTTTTACTTGTTTTACTGATAAATACAGAATGTCCGTCTAAAGTAAGATTTGTGGAATTTAGACTCTCGAAGATTCTCAAAAGGTTGTCAAAGATTCCTCCCTTATGCTAGCCTGCGTGGCAGGCGTTTGAAAGGGAAGGGAAAGGGAGTTTTAGTCGCGAGAGAAACGCGAAGGGCGCGCGAGGAAGGAGGGAGGAAAACGCCTGCCAGGAAACCATTGTTTTTCTCGTTATTAACATCTACCAGGTGAATGTTAAAATCCTGATTGGTCAAAATTTGATAAGATCTAAATAGCGTGTTCTAATTGGTCACCTACATGTTATGCAGTAACTTGAGTGTTACCATTCACAACTAAACATATGTCGTTAGTGAAGCGTGTTGAGAGTTCTCTACGCGAATTCATCGTTAGAAGGCATCAATTTCAGCTTCAAAGGAGAGTAGAAAAAAGCAGTTAAAGAACCGTATGAAGGAAAAGGCCTGTCAGCAGATGAGGTTTACTGACTGGTTCTGAAAAGTATTATCCCCCAACGGCTTGTCGGTTTTACTTGCCAGGCGAAAGAAACGAAAAATCATGCTGCCTGTGTGCTTGTTATCTGCTGTTTGACCCGCGTTATCAACGGTAAGATAATTGAAGACGAAGCGATCTATAACTTTTGGCGATTTTTTGGTCGAGGACTTCTTCTTGCCGGTTATAAAACCGCCAGGAACTTACTTTAATAATAAATTGTTGCCTTCTTGCAGATCTTCGAAGTTCAGCTCTTCTTTCCTTGCCACCAGCGTTCTTTAGTGTGCTCGGCTGGATCCAGTTCGTCCTGATAGAAACTCAAAGAGTGCGTGACGGCAAAGTGTTTTAATTTTTCTTAGGCAAACATTGCAGTGAAAGTTGCGAGGAGCCGCTACATTACTTATTAAATAGTTTTCCAGTCCGATTCCTTCAGCAACAACTTGAATAGATTTGTGCTGGATTTTATGTAACTCGCACGGGTCGTTGCGACTTTCAAGGAAGATTCCTTCGATGGACGACGGCGTTTGAACTTTTTTATAGTACCTTTACTTTAGATTGCTTTAGGAAAACAAAAGAAAAACAGTGTGAGAAATACGACTAGAATACGTGCATCGCGGCCAGACTTATTTGACAGCTAGTCATTCACAGTCGTGTTATTTTTGTTATTTTTTTAATTAGTAGGCGGGATGGCGAAAACAATGGCTTCCTTGCAGGCGTTCCCCTCCTCCCTCCTCCCTCGCGCGTGGTCTCGCGCCCTAATTCCCATCCCCTCGCGCCGTAATTCCCTTCCCCTTCCCTTTCGAACGCCTGCCACGCAGGCTACCCTTATGCCGCTTAAAATTATTGGCTTCCTACTGCGTTTAGAGAAAACTGTTTTCAGACGGTTTTGATATCGATGTGGTCTCATTAATGCTTACCCAATGCAATCCCACAATAGATGATATGTTTATACTAGCTTTATGCCACATGCCTCCTTTATCACCACTCGCAGAGAACACTACTGTTTCATTTATGGTGACGTTCAGCCTTCCATTAGCAGCACCAGACAAACAGTAATAGAATTCAAGGCACATAATCCCAAAGAACTTCAGTGGAGGACTGTACAATTTTGCATCATCACCTGCTTGATTTGGACTGGATGCTGTTATGTACATGTAATAACCTTTAAAGAGATAAAGATGGATAGAGGGTAGCAACTTATATATAACTAACCCGTAGTTTTAAGTTGAGGACCGACTGTCCAATTTTGTTAGTTCTTCTTATTAATATATGAAATAAATCATATAAGAACTGCGGAAATGAAATGAAAATGAAGAAATGATCGTCGCAGAAACTTGAAAAAAAAAATTCAGGACTTCAACGGGGTTTGAACCCGTGACCTCGCAATTTCCGCAGTTCATATATGATTTATTTCATATATTATTAACACTCATTTTTTTCACAGGAACATATGAACCCACAATTGACCTGCTCCCAACGTCAGTGGCTTCATAGCTCAGTTGGTAGAGCATCGCACCGGTAATTGCGAGGTCACGGGTTCAAACCCCGTTGAAGTCCTGAATTTTTTTCTGGCTTCTTTACGCAATTGCATAAATTGCGTTCACTGCGACGATCATTTCTTCATAATCATTTGTAAGTTCTTGTTGACTAGATAACTGTAAAAAATGAATGTGTAATAACTTACAAAGAGATACGGATACAGGGAAGAAAAATCACCCGTGCTTACTAAAAAACGTTTTGCAGTTGACCTAGAATAAGATTTTTCAAAATTTGCGCGCAAATGCTAAAACAGTTCTCTGACCTCGTAAGTGCAACGTGAGTAAGTTAGACTGATCAGCTTAAAAAGCCTTTTGTAAAAATAAAAACTTCAGTATTAAGGCTCCTTTCTGGAGTTGAGAGCCATGGGAAGTGCTACATGCAACTGGATATTGTATAGCAGGAGCAAAAAGGGCTACTATACATTAGCGGATTCAGATCATCAAGTAAGTGGGGAGGGGGGGGGGCGCTGTTTGGCTGAAACGGGCCCTAAGAATAAGGGTAGCCGGTCTCGAGGATAATTTTTCTTGGTCCAACAGGCCTCAGTCGTACCTAAAATGTAAGGAGGGGCCCCTGGCCTCTCCCGAGCCCCTCTCTGGCCCTAGATCCGCCAATGCCATAAAGCCGTTCACGTGACGTCACAACGGCTATGTTGGTGTAAACGCTTTCTTTTTTCGTAATATATTTGAACAGCTAACGACCACGTGAGTGAAAACGCTCTTTACGGAGATAAGGTATGAAAAGAGAATAAATAAAAACCCTAATATGATTTAAAAGGTATGCAGGTGTAGCAATTCATTTTTCAGTGTCAGTTTAATAAAAGGGCTCGGTTGATTGATTGATATTATTGTTCTAACTGTTATTATCGTTTTGCATTGTGTTGACTCAAGAAAGAATAACGTTCCATTATTCTCTCTTGGGTGACTCCAATGTAGAGGGAAGTTTCTATTTTTTTCAATGGGGGCTAAATATTAACGTTGCTTTCCGAATAAGCAAAAAAGATGTGCTTGGGCTGGATTTCTCACGTCTGGCTGAAATTACCGTGGAGAGTACTGAATACGAGATTCGATATGAAACCACCCCCTTTCTTTTTTTTTTTTTGGGGTGTTCCATGTAATGGGAAATTTTTTTTTTTTTGGGGGGGGGTTTAATTTTAAATTTGGTTTGAGAAAAAAAAAAAAAGGGGGGGTTGGGCTGGATTTTTCAGGGGTGGGGGAAAAAACCTGAGATAGTAAAAAATTTGGATTTAAGTTTAAACCCCCCCCCCCCCCCCCCAAAAAAAAAAAAATTGGTTTAATTCTTTTTGTCCACAATTTGATCACTGGATGCTCTAAATAACCGTAACTTTCTCTGCTAATAGTAACTCTGGCTAGTTATAATTTAATTAATTTAGAGTTCACCTGTCATGTTTCCAGTGGTGTGATCAAAGGAAGGTCCTTTACTGGAAGATGGGCTTCTCCTGTGTCGAGTCCAGTCAAGCGTCCCATCTTTGCCTCGCTCGAAACCGCACATTGATACATCAAAGTTGCAAGTTATTTCTAAAGTGAGAGGAAGCAATTAATGAATCTTAATGTTATAAATTGGTCTTTTTATGCTTAATCGATTCAACGTACTTCTTAAATGCATACGAACTTAAGGTCCCGTTTATATTGAGAAAAGTTGTTCCGTGTAGAAGGGTCACTCACCCAGCCGAGGTACCCTGGGCTCGAGCCAACGTTCCGACGTTTCGAGTCCATCTCGTTATAAAACTTGGTAAACCGTTAACCTGGCAAACAAAAGTTGGCTCGGCTACAAGGGTCTACTCGCCGCGCTTGTTATTTCACCCTTTTTGGATGACAGGGTCGCCCACCTAACCGGGCCAACTTTCCTCCATAAAAACACCTTGGCTCGCCCAGCCAGGTCAACTTGGTCAAGGCGAGACAATCAGAGCATGCGCAAGCGGTGTTTTAGGCAATAAGAGCACGCACGCGAGCATTGTTGACTCGTTTGGAAGAGTGACCCACTTTTTTGGGACCTTTTCTCCTTAAAAACGGGGCCTAACATTGAAGTGCAATTTTTAACACCAGGTACCGCGGAGCAGGGTATACACATAGGATGCATACGTCAAGGCTTAAACATGCAACACGGAATTTAGTTTTTCCAAACTGGTTAGAAATGCATCTACAATGGGGTCATCCTCGTTGTGAGAACCTCTAATACTCACGAGCTATGTAAAACGAGGAAAACATCGGATTCAACACATTAAGAGTTAAAAAAAGGAATAATGATATTGCCCCATGTAAAGGAATCAAGATTCCCGAATCCCGCAAAATTTTGCTTATGGAATCCGGAATCCTGGGGTTTGGAATCCGGAATACAGCTTAAGGAATCGGGAATCCTACTAACGATTGGAATCCAGAATCCAAGTTCCACTGACAAATACGGGAATCCAGTACCTGCAATCCGGAATCCTCAGCGTTTATTACAGAAACCAAGACAGCCCTGGATTCCCTTACATGGGGTGAATGGTAACTTGATCTGTAGCAAAGAAAAACTTTACAGTTCTTTCATCGAGGTGGAAACCTAACACTGTTATCTTTTTACTATACAAGTTTCAATAATGTATTTCAACAAGGGATTGTGAAAATCTAAATTAAAGTTCATCTTCCTTGATCGAATCGTAGTAAAGCTTTTTCCATTTCGAAAATCCTTCATGCAGAGCGGAAATTCGCACCTGAATGGGCTGTGAATAAACCCTTTGAAACATTAACGACTGAAGATGATAGCGCTTTGTCCCTTCTGCTCCAGGACATGTTCAGTTGGCCTCTAACTTAACCCAGTGCATTGTTTGAGAAGGAACCCATGCCTCTTGCTCCTTCGAAAGGTATACAACTGCATGTACTAAGCTATAATTTCAAATTCTCAATTTAGCATTTTTTTAGCTTGCAAATCGATTACATAAGCAAAAATATAAAAGATGCCCAAATGTTAAAAATGCGCTCTTTCAAAGAGGCCAGGTAGTTCCCTTCGTATGGTTGTTATGATTAAATTAACTAGAAATACGTGTCTTGCAAACCCTCCTCTTTGCTTATTTGAGTCCTTCTCCCATCCTCGAAGATCGAGTAGCAGCGAATGTTTACAACAAGTGAGTAGCTGTCCTTGTTCTCTCAGGATGTCCCTCTCCCTACCTTGTTGACAACTGACGTCAATCTCTCTGGCAAATTCATCCAATAATTTCCTGGTACTTTGCTGCTTCTTATTTACCTCGTTCTTTTTTTGGTTTATGTTACTGGAGTACGCTGCAAAACGAAGTGACAAAGTAGAGCAGGAAATAATTCTCTCTCCATTTTAATGATAATTCACTGCACGAAAAAGCGGATTTACAAAAATTTACTAGGTGCAAATATGGTGCAAAAAAGTGCAAACTAGGGGGAAATCAAAAGCAAAGATGGTAAATGCCGCATTTGCCTGCCAGTTTACGCGGGGTTGTAAATTTGAGGGCAAATGCGGTATTTACCATCTTTGCCCTTTAGTTAACCTTAGCTTGCACTTTTTTGCACCAAATTTGCACTGCCAGTGAGTAAATGTTTCGCGAGTGTAGTGAGCAACGGAATTCTATTCGAAACAAAATCTCTTTACAACTGTCTAATACTTCAACAAAACTACCACTGAAGAAGTCAAATTATCATTCCTTAAAGGCACGCTTACGCTTTACAGTTAAAGTTCTTTTGAGGAATTAACAATAATATTTAGAGTGATTGCGTCGTTGAACAACTTTTCTGTTTATCAGTGTTTTGCAAGACCAATCTTAACAGACACGAACAATAAACTCAACTCAACGCCATTACGAAAGGTTGTATCTCCACGGACATCCCATGATGCATCGCAATACGGTGCACCTTCTAACACCGTTCTCCAGTAAATTTGCAATTTTACGTTCTGCTAGAGTATCTCTGCGGCATTTTCACCAAGCTCCTCGAACGTGTTCGAATAACGGTATTTAGTTCCATCTTAGCGCATTGAGCAGGTTCTGTATATAGCCTTTGTGGTCTCTACACGGTTTCTTGCAGATAGTTTACCATCGAGGCACATTAACATCGTATGAACGGTATCCGCAATTCAGTAGCTAAGACAGTTTCTTTCTTCCATCCTTGTCCTCTCAGTAGACCTTTAGGCTTGACTATAACGGTATTTCCAGGCATTACCTCATTAAATCCTTGGCAGTCTGGTCATAATAACCTTGAGGCTTCTGGTTTCTTTTAGTTTTCTCTGTTAGCACTTTTTCCCCAATCTCCGCTGTCAGCAGTGTTGCTTTCATGGGTATTTCAATTCTTGTTCGACCGTTTATCAACGTTTGTGCGGTAGTTATTGTCATGCCAGCCGCGTTTGTGCTGGTCAAGTTATGCTTCATACGGACTCCGTGTTTTTTCTCAGATTTTCCTCAGCAGTCTTAACAATCTTCACAGCGGATTCAGCTTTTCCATTACTTTCATTTTGGTGGTAATTACTGTAGCTGAAGATTTTGAATGTTTAATCTTCTTTCTTTGGCGCGCAGAATTGTGGGAATTCAACTGAGTCGGAAATGACACAGACTGCATGTTGCGACACATTAGGAATTCCCAACTCGCAAACTGTTTTTGCATCAGATCAGTGGTTTCACCTTCAGTTTGGTTTTTCGTCAAATCAAATTCAATCCAGTCACTCTTATGCACTGGTGTCAACGGCTTACCCTAGGGGTGAACCCCAGGCCAACCAGAGGGATTGTAAAATGGGTGGAGCATAAAAGTCAATAATTTGCCCCAGGGGTGAGGAAATTTAACATAGCAAAGTCCCCTGGGTCAAGTGCTTCTCAACTATTATTCCCCTGATACGAGATTTACGTCATCTAAGTGGGATTTAAGCGACATTTTTTTATGGTAGAAAAGCCTTGTTGTTGCCTGTGTAGCTGGTTTGATTTCTTGCTTGCGATTGTTGGAAAAGACTTCAAATCACCCGTGGATTTAATATGTGGCTGCAAAGCCACGAGAATAATGAACCCGAAAACACCTTGCAGCTCACTTCTCTAAATAGCAATCCGACACTCTGATCCCGCCAGCTACGCACCCCAGTGACGCACCCGGCTATGATGAGTTGGGGATCAAATTTTATTCATTCGTTTTAGGAGTGGTGAAATGAAATATGATACATTAATATTTCAATAAAAATCAGTACAATAAAATAGCACCCGAAGACAAGTTCACAAAGGTTATTATTAGCAAGAGACTGGTAATGTTTTTTTTTTTGCCTGTGGACTACCGTGATAGAACTTGTAAGAATCTGCCTTGTGATGCTTTATAATTAGTTTCAAGGCCAACTATGCCCACCTACCACTATTTATGTTTATTCATTTACATTTATTGAGTGCTACAGTTACTCATTGTATTTCCTTAGTTTTTATTTTATTGGGAACAGGAACAGTACTTCAACAAACCATAGCACGCGTGACACTACTGATTACTATGCTGGGCACGTTTTCTCGCTAATGTTTCTGCGATTTGTCGCGAGAAATCACTAGATTTCATAAAGGTTGAGAAGGATTCCCATTTAGTCAACTAAAACCAGATAGTGTCATTAATCCAATCAAAAATATCAGACCCAACTTTTGACCAGGGTCTGTAACTTTGTCCTTAGTCTGGAAAGCGTTGCAGACTTCACATGTATCAATGAACTGCATCGGTTGCTTCTTCATCTCTGGTCATCATAAAGATGTTCTGTCACGCCTAAGGGTTGGACCTTTGCCCATATGCGCAATTTCATTTGGTAATCAGGGTCTTCCGCATGCAGTGCCGCTGAGACTAGTATGCGATCATTTCTGTATACGATTGCATCGCTAAATGACAGTTCACATTTTACGCTCCAGTGGGGGTAAAATTTCAACAGGAACGTCTCGTTTGTATAATGTCCAGCAAATTGATATATGGTGGATTATAAACTGTAAGTCAGTATCCTGCTCAGTTGCTTCTGAAATTTCGGCTAAGTGGCTTGTTATAAGCTTTGATCTTCGTGAACCAGTCTGGTCGTTTGAATTTCTTGTTCCATCTTGCTTCGGTTCTGGTTAGTCGTTTGAGATCTGCTAAGGGCATCTGCAATTAGGAGGTCTTTTTCTTTAACATACTTGTCATATCCCATGATTTTACAAAGCATTCGCTGCATTGTCATCAAACAAGGTTTCCTTTAACAGGTTTCTTTTGTACGGCAGCAAGAGGCTTTTGTGATCATTATTGACTGTCACTTTCCTACTCATGAGTGTGAGGGTATGAAATCTAGTGAGCCCAAATACAATACTTAGCTTCTCCTTCTATAAATTTGGTTGTAGCATCTTTCAGTGTCAGTTAATGCTCTCTATATGCAAAGTGTATAGGTTGGCCGTCTTGCATGAGGCAGGCTCTTAATCCACTTGTTCAACCACATCGAAGTATTTCAGCAGTGGTGGGTTTAAAATGAGGGTCTTTATTTCATCAAAATCTTTCTGTTTATTTTATTCCCAGATAAACGCATTGTTGTTCTTTAGCAGAGCTCTCAGTGGTTCTAACGTGGTTAAAAAATCTTCTGAAAATCGTGAGAGGTTGGGAACAAGACCAAGTAGTCTTCTCAATTCCTTGTTGTTGGTTGGAAGAGAGGTATGGTCACAATACAATCTTGCTTCTTGGGGTCAGGTATATATCCTTTGTCTGTTAGGGCCACACCCATATGCCTATAGAGCATTTCAGTCTTCTTCAGCCGGAACTTCTCCTGATTAAGTTTAATATTCTTCCGCTGGCGTCGCTTTTACAAAGCAAGCAGATTTTCTCGTCATGGCTAGCTGTTGCCTCTTCAAAGCTGTCATCATCACCCCAGATCAAGATGTCATCGACTATAGCCTTTACACCTTCTAATCCTCCTAGATTCTCATCAATTTTTCTCTGAAATTCTTCAGGTGCTACACTGATGCCGAAGGCTTCATCTGCCAAGAGGTTGTCAGCAAGGGGCTTCCTGCAGCTAATGGTACAGGCCCGAAAAGGCAGTCTTGATATCAGCTAAAGAAAATACTTTAGTTAGCATTTCCAATTTCTGTAAGCAGATGATCAACAGCTGAGTTTGGATATTCATGTCGCTTGGGTGCGATGTTCAGTGGTCTACTGCCTATGCAGAGTCTAATTCCATTCTTAGCAGAAAGTTTGCAGTTTACAACTGTAGGAGCACTTACCCATTCCGTGGGCTCGGTCACTTTCTCAAGTGAACCTTGCTGTTGGAGGTCTTTTACTTCAGCATTAAAATTGCTGTTAATACACAAAGAGGAAACTCTCTAAGACCTTTTATTGTGGAATGACATTATTATTTGTGTACAGGTGTAGTTCGCCGTCAAACGTTCCTCTACTGTCACCAAAGACTTGAGGGTAGTCGTCCGATCAGAACGGTTTTCAAGGGGAGTGGTGTTGGCACAATTCACCAGCAGTTAGAGGATTTAGATGGCCCTGCTACAGCAATATGTTCTAGATCTCCGTAAGACCTCAATGAAGCTCAATGACCTTGAGCGTCTCATAGTCCTTCAGGCCAATGAGGGTTGTTAGGTCTCTCTCAACCATTCTTAACTGAATAATCACTTCTTCATTGGTTTCAGGAATTACTCCTTACAAAGACTTCTGGTTCCCAGTGTCTAAATTTATGGTTTCTTCATCATACAGAGAAAGAGCAGGCTTGTTTGCATTGAGATTATAGACTCCACTGATGTCTTCGTACACATTCACAAGGAGAATGCTACATGCAGAACCAGAGTCTATCTGTTAGCTAACAGGAATCTTTTTCTTAACTGACAGCAATATAGTAGGTTTGCAAATTAAAAGTGATCACAGTTTTCGGGTTGAGTAAACAAATTTTGTCAAGAACTCCATAATAGTGAATCCTCACCGTCCATCTTCCACTCTCAATACAAATTGTTTTGTGGATGATTTTGATTGTTTGTGGTCTGAGTGTTTCTCTTTTATCCCTTTTTGGAATTGTTTACACTTCTTTGATCGATCTTTGAGTCTTGAAAATGATTTTTGATCTTTCACTTTCTGTAGACTGCTCCCCAGGTGGGGCCGAGTTGTATGAAAAGCCATGAGCTTCAGCTTTTATGCGGTCCTTTACAGGAGGTCGGTTTGCGCTACACTCTTGAACTTCAATCTTAGTACTTTCATAAGCCTTGCCAATTCTACAGGAATCTTTCTTTCGGCTGTTTATGAGATACACCTTAAAAACATGATCTTTCCGTGGCACTTGTCTAATCTTCGTCTAGATAATTGCAGTTTCTGCAGGGGTTGTCTCTTCAGGTGTTGTGCACTCGTTCTTTAAATTTCTTTTAGAAGGAACATTCTCGTTACATTCTGGACTTACCACTCTCTCCAACTTCGTCCCAGACATCTGTACATCTGTTTGTAGTCGTAATACATCGTCCGCACCCGTTCAAACCAGTCTAAGTTGTCGTAGATCTTTTGGCCTACAGGACCGAGCTAATCTTATACCAGAATACATTTTCTTTCGTTCGAAATCGATTCACAAGACTTCTTTTGAAGATGTAACCACATTTCTTTTTAAAGGTTCTCAATGCTTTTCTTGACGCCTTGAATCGAAATTTGGTCGTTTGAAGTTCATGATGTTTTCGTTATGAAATCCAGCTGGATTCTGAACTGGGCTAGCTTCAGCACCGACATGTTTCACAGTAGCAGCAAAGAAATTTATCACAGGTTGTCACAGCAGACACGAAAATTCCAGTGAGATTGCACATATATAATGTTAAGAAAAAAACACCGGTAAAAAATATAAAATCACCGTCAGGTCTTGGCACAAAATTACACGTGTATTCAGTGTTTCTACGAGATTCAATGCGCACTGACAGACTCAGACTCCAAACGATGTCACAGAAAGTCACTAGACCAATAGCAGTAAAATAATCTGCGTTTTTTTTCAATTCCTGGTACCATGTTTTGGAAGTATATCTTCACAGAAACGAACAGTAAAATCAACTCAACTCAACGCAATTACAAAACGTTTCCCTTCACGCACATCTCCCATGATGCACATCAATATGGTTACCACCCTGTAACAATCAGTTTTTTATAACAGTAAATTAAAAGCAAAAGTCTTATCCGAGGCCGGGTTCGCTGAAAACGTTTCGGTGATTATTTAAAACCTTAGTTTCTTC